AGCCTGCCCAGACTTTCTAATTGCAAACCGATAGCTTTGATCCTGTTTTAACTATATGACATAGAGTAAGACTCAGAGTTAATAAACAGGCTGCAGATGGTTGGTGACTTTTTTAAGAAGGACTAATTTACAATGCAAATTAACCCAGAGCTGGACTCCCATTACAAAGTTAGGATCCAGAACTTTATTCTAGACATAAAGTAAGTTATGCATAAAGTCAAATGACAACATATATGTCAGGGTTGTTGGATGTAGTAGTTGACTCAAATGCAGAGTAGAAGGAGGCAGAGAAGATTGCTTGCAAAATTTAATGAAAATGTAAGATAAAAAAAGTCATAGTCCATAACTGAAGGACTAGGAAGCTCACGAACAAAAACACTAGCAGACACAAGGGAAGAATAAACCAAAAAAAGGACCAGAATCTATCAATGAGTAACTGAACAAGAGGTGTATATATGGGAGACAGAACAATGGGAGGACTGATTGTCTGATAGGGAACAGCTGTGAATATAATTAACTATAAGGAGCTAAGTGGAAAGAAAATGACACTAAGGGGCAATAAAACAAAACAAAAAATTTATGTAAATCTAGAGAACACAAAACAAAACATATTTGAGAACCCAAAAAGCAAAAACTTAACTGAGACAAAAGGTCCAGAAAGTAAGATCATAACAACATACTTGTCTTGAAAAGCCCAAAATTAGATTGACTTCCATTTCAATGAATATTTTTTCTTGCACACATATCTTATAGATTATTTTTGAAATTGAGTATGCAAAAAGCTATCATAAAAATGGGATTCTGAAAATAAAAGGAAAAGCTTAGAGTTATGTTGAATACCACTTTTTATCTCATTAAGAGAGGTCACAGATTCAAGTGTCCATGTTACCCTTTTGCTGACATTCTTTTACTCTTATCATTGCAGTATGTCAACTGCTTAATACCTGGGAGCGACAAAGATTATTATTTTATCACTTTCAGAATTTCAAAATGTTTTTGATCAAAGCCCAAAGAACAACATGTCAACCCGAGCTAATCAGCACAAAATGCCTCATGTCACCACACAGGACTTTGACAAACTTTTGGAGAAAATATCTGTTTTGGAGATGCAAATCCATCAACTAAAAGTGAATGGTGAAGATCAATGTTGGGTACAACAATAACCTGACTCTGCCCGTTGTTGTGTAACTTTAATATGTTTATTGCCCACACCAATATGGGTGGAAAATATGTAATTAAATGAGATATTATTTGGACTGTTATATATTGTTTATGAACACATACCCTACTGGCTGTGTGTTATAATAAGAAATGAAAGTGTGATTCTAGATGAATTGATTGTCAAACAGATAATCCGGCACATATATGGAATAAATTCGCCCCAACTTCAATTCAAAATATAAGTTTATTAACAAAAATAATTCGGCTGCAAGGCTAACCAATTTTAGTTAAAAACCCTTGACTAAACAGGTAAAACAAAGGTACTACATACAAAAGAAAAAAACATGGTTGAAACCCATAATCAATGAGATGATGCAATGATATTACAGTTCAGCATTGATTTTGTTGAGAACCAAAGACTATCTTGAAGAACTTGGAATAAGGTCAAATTATCTTTGAACTAATTTAGAGCAATTGGAAATCTTTTCTAGCCAACTCACAAAGCAAAGGTTTCTATGTGACCGTCCGACTCCTGTCTGAGAGGAAGCAACAACAAAAAAATACACCAGTGGAACTGACTGGTTTGCGAGCGTATTTTGGAGTCAAGGAAAGACTGGTTTACGCGCAAGAGAAGAAAGTAAACAAGAGGAAAACATTTCTGTGAAAGAAGCATTAGATCTGAGAGCAGAAACAAAGATTTGATGGAGAAGAGGATTTATTTGAGAGAAAGCATCAGTTTTGAATGTGAGCTTTGCGAGTTTCGAGTGCAAGTAGGAACAATCCTGCACTCTAATTGAAATGTGTGCCCTTGGTTTTTGGTAGGAAAAATCTTCCTCTTTTGATGCAATCAACTGGTTTTCCTTAGATTGAAAACTATGCCTAAACAAAAGTGTTTTAACACCATAACCTTTACCCAGTTGCTATGTTACACAGAACTTTTCATTTGTATTTGTTCAATTATTTATTCAGTATTTATAATCATGCAATTTTTAAGGATCCTTCATGAGACAGAACAGTAGATTTAAAATTATTAACAGTCATTTATCAGCATTGAAATAAAACTGTAGGACAATAACTAAAAACCATTACAAGGAACACTACTGTATTTGCATCCTTTTTTAGGATACATTTTAAATTTTCTTTCAATTAATCAATTCAAGGCATAATGTTTATCCTCTTGTTGTTCCCATTTGACTTTGCAGCTGGGATAATTAAACTGTTGCTTTGTTGTTTCCAGGAGGGTCAGGAGATCTGGTGTGAGATGTATCGATCAGAGGGGGCTGCAGCCAAGACAGAACCATCCTTAGGACTTTACCACATTTCTACTGTCTTGTTTTGATCTGATGCAGTTTATCTGTGCAAGTGTAATGATTAGAAAGAAGGGATACTGCTACGTAAAAGTTAATCTCCATAAAACCTTGCTATTTATACATTATAAAGCATTTCTAAATATCTGAGAAAAATCATAGTTAGCTTCTGCTTCACAAACAGGAGGGCAATGTATTCTCTTTAAAAATGGTAGGTTGACAGCTCTTCTCATGGGAGATTTAGGGGTTTCATTTTTTGTTCTATTCATTGTATTTTTTGATTCAATGACTCCAGTTTTTCATTTATTAGGTAACCTAATAAGTTTATGTTTTATTACATTCTATTAAAATATCTTTAATCATGTGGAATGAACCCCAAATCTTCAATTAATTCAGTCAATACTAAAACAGCAATTACAAGGAACTCAAAGAAGATATAGTTTTGCGTTTCTTTGTTTTAAGTTCATTATTTTATGGAAAAAATTGTTTCTCGTGTTATGGAAAGATATTAAAGTGACTCTATCTCAAAAAAAAAAACAGCTTAATGGGGGGGATATCTCTTGATTATCTAAAAAGCTATGTTATCCCTAAAACATCAGTAGCACACATGATATATATTTTGACATGCTTATTTCATTTTACAAATGAGAAAGAAAGAAGGAAAGAAAGAAATAAAGCTCTGACACCACCTAGTGTCTATCTCTCCATATTCCTGAGCTGACTGACCATATAGCTTCAAAGTTTAAATACCCTTCCATTAAAGACAGAAAAAAATCAGCCTCCAGTAAAATACATTTATATATATATATATATATATATATATATATATATATATATATATATATATATGCTAAGCCTTTTTGAGTAACACTTTCAGGCAATCGCTGAAATCAAGTGTTTTCTGTAACATTCTGGAATTGTTCACTAAGACTTTTGCTGCTGTTGACAGGTATGTTGATTCACTGTTCATGAGCAAAGTACTTTAATTTGTCTGGAACAGTTTGATTTTTTAGAATTATTTTTTAGGGGGAAAAAAATAATAATAAACATTTAATTTTATTGAGTTATCGTTTTTCATCAAATTTGTATTTATCATTTCTTTTTTCAGTTTTGTGTAACTAATGTGAGAAATTCTGCTTTGAGCTGAGAACCAAAGAATTTAATTAATGTCAATGAAATCTCTCTAATTGCATAATTTCTCCATATGAGTCTGTCCAGGTTAAGTTGCTTGCAGGCAACTAGTAAAAGTTGTCAGAAAAATTAAAATTGTTGAACTGTTTTTCTTGTAGAAATTTATCAGGTATATGGATACAAAATAGGTTAGTAGGCCTAAGAAAACAAAAAGCACAACAACAAAAAAAACAGATTAAGGGGCTTTGTTAAATTATTTAAATAAAAACACAGACATCAAGAAATCTTCTAAAAGTGAAATAAAAAAATGGTAAACAAAAAAAAAAAAAAGGAGTAACACACTTTATGTCAACTTTTAATGTAATTTTGGTAACAGGCCTTTACCAGAATAATAACCAGATAAACTACATCACCACTTGTTACATTTGTTTGTAGTTAACAATTCTTATTTAATATGGCAAATTTATCTTTACAAGGTTTATAACTACGATACATTAAGGTAAGAATCTGTCTAAAATGCCCATACACAATGATTAAAAGATTAAAATAGTTTTTAAAAATAAAAACTAATACTAATGCAGATTGACAATAACACCCCAATAATCAGATAACATAACATAAACAAATTCATATGAAGTACATAAAAAAACAAGTGTGCATTAAGACCATGTAGTTATTTTTTTAGCAGAGCATGTCCTTTTCTTAGAGATTAAGTTTATATTTTTGCATCCCATGCTTTCTGTGTTCAACAATTTGTGTTTTCAAAAGTATGCTTGTCTTATCAAAGTTAATACATTCAAGATAAGTGATCATCAAATAAATAAACACGTTTGACATATACTTTTTACCTTCATGATTGCATTCACATCTTTAAAGTTGACAAATAGAAGTTTCTCTGACAGCAGGAACCAAAGGGATTATTGACAATTCTGCTGAAACAAAACAAACGTGTGGTTTGCAAAGATGTATTACTATATTACACTTTTTAAATATGTTGCTGTTTGAATATTTAAAATTTTTTGTGGTTTTCCCTCTTCCATAAACTTAATTTTCTTTTATGTGAACGACTTTAGCAAATAAATGTGTTTCTATATACATATGAAATAGATGGTTCCATGGCATATCACTTACAATACGCAGAGGGAAAACTTCAAAGCTGGTAAAGCTAGAAACTGCATGTTTTGAGAGGAATGTTACTGTTAGTACTAACTTGTTGGTATCAAAATCAGTGTAGCACTAAATTTAAAGGTTAACATACTGCAAATTTATTAAAAACTAAGTCTGGCTAGAGTAGTTGAGTTGTACTTTATAAACACACTTTTTATTTTTACTAACAACTCTAGCACCTACTTTAGGTTTTTATAGTTTTAGGAAACGTCATTTTAAGAACTTATCTGTACATTAGTTTTTCTCTTTCTTAGAATGTGATAGCTCCATCCCGGGCGATATTCCAGGGAGGCACACTCTGCAGCTTATAAACATGATGAAAGCCCTACGAAAGCAGTGATTGAAAAATCCATACAGGAAGGGATTCAATGATGAGTTGATGTATCCCAACCAGAGAAAAACATCCCATACAACAACTTCTGTGCTGTATTCAATGAATGGATCGACAATGTTGACAGTAAAGAAAGGCATCCAGAAGATAAGGAAAACTCCCATGATAATACCTAGAGTTTTTGCAGCCTTTCCTTCTCTCTTCATAGTGTTGCGGTGTCTTTTTTTCTTGCTTGAATCTTTGCCCACTCCAGCAGCCATTTGGCTTTCCATGGCACTGATCTGCTTAGACTGTCGCTTTGCAGCTTTGTAGATCTTCCAGTATGCCACAAGCATGACAGCCATAGGGAGGTAAAAGGCTACCAAAGAGGCCATGACGGCATAAACACGGCTGACCAAGAACACACACAAATCTGAAGGAATTAAGATGTCTACATTAGCAATGTGAAGGTCTAACATTATGGGGCCAAATGAAATGAGCATTGGAACAGTCCAACAAATGGCAATGAGCATAGCTACATTACTATTGGACATCTTTAAGGAGTAAACCAGGGGGTTGCACACTGCATAGTAACGGTCAAAGGCAATGCAGCTGAGATGGAATATAGAGGCAGTACACAGCATGACATCTAGGCTGGAGTGAAACTTGCAAAATAAGGAACCAAAATACCAACATCCCTCCACAGTCCGTATCATACTAAAGGGCATCACCAGCAGTCCAACAAGGCAGTCAGCCACTGCAAGGGACAAAACAAAAGAATTTGTTGGAGACTGTAGCTGCTTAAAGTAGGAGATGGATAAGACAACCAAAAAGTTCCCCACAACAGTGCAGACTATGCCAACTGAGAGGAAGGTATACAGGAAAATCCTCGAGATGTGGCTCCTCATTGTGACACATGCCAGTAGCTCAATCTGAACCGATGCATTACTATTTCCAGGCCATTCTCGACTGCCGTTCTCCATGGTCTTATCGTACCTACCAAAACAGACAATTCAAAAATGTCAAATGACAAAAACTGGAAGCTATATCTAATAAAATCATTCACATTGAAGGTCACACCAATTTATATTATTGTAACAGTAATTTTCGTACTGTTACTGTTTGAACAACTTTCTAACTCTTTTACAGAATGGTTGGACTTATGGATTGTTAAAATCCAGTTGCCTTTAACTATTTAGTCATTTAGACTATCACTAATTTAAACTGTACAAGCAGAGTTATTAAATTGCCAACAAAAGAAAATGTCTCTGCTAATTCAAATGTCAACGAAAGGAGGGTGGATCTGGCTTGAGTGATAAATCGTTCCCAGGATAAAATAACCATAAAAGACCACAGGTTAAAATACAATTGTAACTTTATTAGCTAACAGTGACAGTATTATTGTATTTAATAATTACGTAAACACTAAACACTACTGAAAATAAGCACAAATATTTAAAATTAAACAAAAAGTGGAAAATGGGGTTTTAAGAGTTCGTTTAAGAGGAATGTTCAAGTTTTAACGCTCAATGCTTTTGTCCTTTAAAATAGCAGCAGATAAATGTGAATTAGCCTGATGCAGAGATATTAAATGTAACCAGTAGAGAAAATGACCAATGAATCATAAAAACATTAACATGTAAAGACATTGGACAGACTGGGTTAGCTTATCTGGCACCCGGATATGTGGTTCCAGAGTGGGCCCAGCTCGAACAAAAGGGTTGGAGAACTCAAAAGATGGCCGCTAACAAGTGGCCGGTATTTATGTAGCTTGGAGATAACGGCAATAGTCAGTCCAACCAGAGTAGCCTATAAACAAATGGAAAAAAAAAGTTATTAAGCAGATAGTAACACCCAGCATGGATCGTTCAGTTAGCCTCAGTGAGAATTACCGTTCAGATAAGAAGCTCTTACTTAAGAACCACCAGCAGTTGAATCAGACCCGTAAAAATATCTATTCTACCCATGTCATGAACAGAGGGGAAAAAGGGGTATGAAAACTGTCTCCCCTATCAAGGCTTGAAAGCCACAGGAAAGAGAGGTTGGAATGGGAGTCAGCTGATTAAGTCATTCAGGGGTAGTCACTCTTGCTTACATCATTGACATTTGATCTTCAAAAACACTAATCAGGAAATTAGCTTTGATTTGGGCTTAAGCCTAAATTAGAGTTGCTGTGAAGTGACCGAAAGCAGTTGTGCATGCAACTTCTCAAATATCTCATGGTAGTAAAACCCCTGTCACACCTTAACAATTTAGCCAGGGTACACCTGATGTCCCAGAATCTCCTTAAACACAGTCATACGCTGAACTTTCTATGTATTTTTTCAATTTTGGTCATACACATAGCACATTCATAATAAGTCCAGAACTTAGGTGCAACGACAGCCTACCTTATGCATAACACATGGCAGCATAATGCCTATGAACTGTCACAAGCCTGTGTCCTAAAGGGGGCAGCGATGTGCCTGGAGTTCCCCATCCTACATAAAAAGATTCCATTGATTGCGGTATTAACCTATTCCAAAAAATAAAATAAAAATCCACTGGACTTTATTTCCAAATTTGAAGATGTTTGAAGATGTTTCGCTTACTATCCAGGAAGCTTTTTCAAGCTTTTTGATTTCAAAATGTCAGAAATAGCGTTGAGACCGAGGTTTTATAGAGCATAAAACTCAAAGCTAAATAAATAATAAATAGATAGTAAATAGATAAAAAGAAAGGAAAGAGGGTTTGCAGTCGCAAACACTTATCTTCATGCTCATCCTATGATAGGGATAAAGTTTGGAGGAGTATTGACAGTTTCCTCCTGTGAACTCCCTTTTATAGCCAAAACGCTGCCAATATGTAATTAAACAGTAGCAGTAAGTTAGAAACATGTTCAGCAGTCATCTGGAACATGTCAAATTTGTTAATATGCATTACTCATAGGATTTGGATAAGCTAGATTACGATGAACTTACACTAAAAGTATGTAAACGATCAAATAACTTTAACCCACGTATTAACATACACTGGCATTAGTCAAGAAACAATATACTTGCCATATGTCGGCATGTGCAAACATGCTTCAGCGTGCTCATAACTTATACAAAACGTACCCATAATTTATCCAATGTATGTCAGCATTTTTTGCCATATTTTTCGTACGTCAGGCATAAGCTGGCTAAATCATCAGGGGGTGACTGGGGTTTAATGAGACAGACCAATATCTGGTAGTCTACTAACACCAAAATAACATCTCACTTGCTAAAACATCCCACTGACTTGATTGGTCAGCAAACTGGCCTGAGCTTAATGATACAGAGCTTGAAATGCTGTTAATATTAGAAAAACAAGAGCCAACAACCCAGGTGAGTTATAGGCCAGTATAAAAACAACCTGGGCTTCCTTAACCCCCTCAGCAGAGCCACAGAATGATCTCCTTCATACAATCCTGGTTTTATGGAGTAATTCATGCAATTGAAATAAAGTATTGTTGCATCGAGTGGAAATGAAAAAGAGAGCTAAGCAAAAAATTAAGTTCAAATATCAAACAATTACCATAGAAAATTATTCTATAATCTAGTATTTCTGCATTAAAGCCCCTTCTCCCATGCTCACATACAGTATTTTTTGAATTTTCTTAGAAACAGAATTTTTTATTGCTCTTTATGTTAAAATGACTACGTTTTTTTTATTAAAAAAAAGTAGAAGATCAAGAATGAAGATTGAATTTTTCATTATACAAATTTGTTCATCTGTTTTCTAACTGAAATGTTTTGAAATATCTTTTGTTCCTAGCAATTAATATAATTATAATAATAACAATATAGGTACTTATTACAGTTTTGTTAGTGAAACTGGCAGAAACAGACACTTAAAAAAAAAAAAAAACTTTGCATTAAGTAGTTGGAGTGCAACAACACAATTTTTCTTTGTGTGTATGTATAATGTGAATTAGTTTACTCACCTGAACAGAGGAGAGATGATCACCTGCCCACATGTCTGTACCAAACTAACATGCTCTATCACCCTTTGTTTTATTCAGATGAAAGAGGAAAAAGGAGGGTTTTAATGAGCGCACGCAACAATGATCACATTGCACCTCTGCTACCAACTCCCCTGCCAAATCACTTCAAAAATCTGAGAAATGACAGCAGAGGGAATTAGAATTCTAAATGCTCTAAGGAAAGAATCAGTCATATATTGTATGTCAAAAATAAAATGTTGCACCTAAGCACAAAACCAAATCTTTAGAATAATTTGTATATTTGTTATCCTTCATATATTTGTGCACAGCTTCCATACAAAAAGTCCTCTTCATAGATCCCAATTCACGTGGGATTGATCTTAGCCTAACATGTATTTTCGCCCACCCCCAAATACGTATGCAAGTTAGACTAAATACCTGAAAAACTCCGACTTCTTTTCCAAATAACCATGGCAGTATGTAACCGGCACAGAAACACTTTTTTTCAAAACTCCTCAGGATATTTGTTCCAGTATTTGTTCCATATGTTGTTACCCAACAACATATTAAATAACATAAGCTACTTTCTAAAAAAAACTGTATGAAAATAAAAACTCTGTCAGCCCTCGACGTTTTGTTCTAAAATGTTTGAATTAAGTCCAAAAGTCACTGTGTGGCTGCTTCATTAACTTATTACTTAACTCATCACTGTAATGTTTAACAAATAATTATTAATGTCACAAAAAAGCCGCTGTTGGATTCAGGAAGAATAACTTTGCAAATATATAGAAATTGACTCTGCACACGAAAGAGGTTCAAGCAGCCCCTGCAGGAGCAGAAGGAAAAGCCCAACCCAACTTCAAGCTTTCCTCCCCCGAATGCCCTCCTGCAGCCGTCTTTTATTAACAGAGCATAGCACATGATTACAAAACAGTATTTGTTCTGACACAACAATTGATCAGTTCATACAGACAAGATGCTCCATCAGAATGACAAGGCAAGAGGGTCTCCTGGCTGCATCCCAAGACACAGTGCAGCAGGCAGGATGGTCTCCTGACTGCAAAAATGTTTCAAAAGCACAAATTAATTTTATAATCATTATTGATTAAACCTGACAGCCGCGATGAAAAAAAAAGACATTTACAACTGGAGAGACTCACAAAGAGAGCAAGGTCCGTTTCACAAAGCAGGTTTAACGAAAAAATTTTCGTCTATAAAACGAAACATTTTTCTAAACCTGTAAACAGGGAAACTCTGACTTTTTAGCTTATGTGTCTGCTGTGTCTGCTGTCTGGTTGGTGATTAAGTAGCCCACTGCATTCATTAACACTAGATGTCCCGGAGAATTTCAGTTTTCCTGCAAGCCCCCCTCCCCTCTTCAAGTTTGCTAAGTGTCCTTGTTGTAATGCTAATAACCTGTGATGTGACCAGCCCTTCGTGTGGACGGGGCCTGGATAAGGCTGAAACAAACTGGCATCAGAACCAGAGCATGCTCCAAACACTCATTACCTGCCCCTGCAACATCAGACCTTTTTGCAGGAATATCTTGATAAGTCATATCCAAATCTTTTATTAAGGCAAACCTATTGAACAACCAGATATCATATGGGTCCTAGTTCCTGAGCTGAGAACAAGTCATAACCATGCTTTTCCAACAAGGCAAGGCAGAGCCTATCTATAATGTCCATTCACCAACAGACTCATTTATATGGCAAACTTTTTGGAAAATATCAGCGTTTCGTGTTCGTTTTGACTTCGTGTGGACGGGGCCTTAATCTCTGCTTCTAGTTTCAGTTCATCATCAACTGCATGTCTTAAAGCCAGCACGGTCACAGGCATTCCCTCAGCACATTGTTTCTATCTAAATCTGGACCCCATTAGACATGTTTCATAATCAGGCACCCTAAGGCACCCTCCATCCATCGCAACCAGTGCTTTATGGCATTTCTTTCTCATCGCTGCAGGTGTTATGATGCCATCATCACGGCGGGCGGTTATGGTGCCCTTTTCCCATCACTGCAGGTGCTCATGATGCTTTTCTCATCACTGCAGGTGATCATGGTACTTTTCCCATCACTGCAGGCCCTCATGGTCCCCTTCATCCATCGTGGCGGGTGCTTATGGCACCCCTTTTCTCATCGCTGTAGGTAGTCATGGTGCCCTCCATCCATTGCGGCGGGCGCTTGTTGCGCCATTTTCTCATCGCTGCAGGTCTTCATGGTGCCCTCAATCCATCATGGTAGCGCTCACAGCACCCTTTTCTATCGTTGCAGGTGCTATGGCACTTTCTATTGCGCTGCACTTTATGGCACTCCTTTTCCCATCGCTACAGGCACTTGGGGCCCTCCATCCATCACTACAGGCACTCATAAGCCCTCCATTTAGCATTGCATGCGATTATGGTGCATGCCATCACCCAATACTCAATGCGGCGGCACTTCATGATGCCCTTTTTTTTATCGCAGGCGGTGCATTATGGCCCCCCAGCTCTTTGCTTCAGGCGCATCGCACCTTAACCCATTGCAGCAGCGCTCTCTTTTCATAGCAGCTGGTGCATTACGGCCCCTCAGCTAATTTCTCGCACTCCACCCTTCCATGCATTCACATCACGAAGACCCTGCACTTCTAAACTTTTAGGACATCATGGCACACATATCTCAACTAAAACATCATGCTTAACCATCGCAGCTTGTTCGTTTCGTCCTTTGGTCATCACGGCTTGCGGGCTAGCGTAGATTATCGCGTCCCCATCTCACTTTCTTAGCTCATCGTGGCCCGCGTATCGATAGATTTACATGTGCATTTGTTCTCTTCTCACACCCTGAGCTCACCGCTATGTAGAGCTCATCT